AGCCATCCATCCATCCATCATCCATCCATCATCCATCCATCATCCATCCATCCATCATCCATCCATCATCCATCCATCATCCATCCATCCATCCATCCATCATCCATCCATCCATCCATCCATCATCCATCCATCCATCATCCATCCATCATCCATCCATCATCCATCCATCATCCATCCATCATCCATCATCAATCCATCCATCATCAATCCATCCATCCATCCATCATCCATCCATCCATCCATCCATCATCCATCCATCCATCCATCCATCATCCATCCATCCATCATCCATCCATCATCCATCCATCATCCATCCATCCATCCATCCATCATCCATCCATCCATCCATCCATCATCCATCCATCCATTCATCCATCCATCATCCATCCATCATCCATCCATCCATCCATCCATTTCTGGTTTCAGATCAGGAGGTTCTCATCTGGACCCTGGGCTCCAGTGAGAGCTGAAGATCACGGCCCGATATGCCAACAGAACCACATCATCATCTGCAGACATCAGAGACAGATTCCCGAGGTCAAGAAATAGAATTAAATGTCAAAAATAAAAATCTAGAAGTTAGAAAGAAAAAGAAACAGGTAAATTKATTTGATCTGAGACGTGTGGATCAGCTGTTTAAGTTCTTCAGTGATTTATGGCAGGTTGGTTTCACTTTAAAAAGGTTCTTTAACACTTTTTTATAAATAAACGGACAGGATTAGGAACAGAAAGTAAAAACTAGATTAATTAAAAGGTTAAATTTAAGAATAACATATAATTTACACCTTGGAGTCCTCCCAGCGGAGCTGGAAGCGGGGGCTGGGGAAAGCGAGGTCTGGGCTCAAGCTGCTGCCCCCGCGACCTAACTTCAGATAAAGCAGAAGATAATGGATGTTTATATAATTTAATGATATTCATCATCAGATGTTGAAACAACCTGAACCACACAGAAATACAAACAAACACTTCTCAGAAAGCAGGGGAATTGATTTAAGGGAAACACTTTAAATGAGTCATTTGGTTTGTTGTTTTTAAAATCAGCTGGAGCTAAATACTAACTTCTGATGGACCAAAGTTCTTTTTATTCGCTGAAATAAAATATTATGTTGATTTACCAACAATGCTTCAAATTAGTTTCTTTGCAAAACTAAACCCAAAGAATCCTGGATTTCTTTTCTTGTTGCTGTTGTTAGCTTTTGTCTGGTCTTTAGCTACTTTTAGCAGTGGTGGGCAGCGCTAATCCAAAAATTAGCTCCGCAATTTCTAAAGTGCTTATTTAAATATTTAGGTCCGCAACTTCAAAAGTGCTTATTCCATGGAAAAACTAGTGGAAGCTAATTTTAAATTGCAAGTTCAATTTGACACTTACTAACCGAATATTCATGTACAATATATGTACAACACTGCCAACTAGTGGTGTGTGAACCCTTTTACAGCTTATTCTTATAACTGCCAGGGATGTGATTTCCTGAAACAGACCTTTGGCTCCTGGTGTAAAAATTAAAAAGTTGTTGAGGATTGCTAGTTCGTTTGCTTTTTTAAAAAGTTGTTGAGGATTGCTAGTTCGGCTGCTTCTTTGTCTTTATCTTTTGTTTGTTGTAGATTTTTCATTAAAGAAGCATCAATAAAGTAATTTTAAATCTGTTTATTGG